ATGAGGAAACTGAATGTCAGACAGGGGTGTAATTTACCCAAGGTCACACAGCTAGTAGGAAGCAAAGCCAGAGTTTGAACCCAGGCACCACGCTGGTTTCAGAGACCACACCTGTAGTCCCTATCCAGAGCTGGGGCAAGCTGAAGAGGAGCAGGATGAATGGGCAGCCATGTTTGTGGATGGAGTAGGGGTGGGGCAGGGGAGATAAGTACTGTGGTAAAACTGGGGACAGGACCAGGCCAGGTGGAAGGGCAGGGCCTCATCCCTTCTCTCCACCATCGTGTTCCCAGTGACTGGCCCACAGTAAGTGCTCAGTAAATCTGTGTGAGAATCATTTCTTCAACTCATAGGCACTCAGCACCTTCTGACAATACAGAATGGACATCCACACCACGGTCAGACCCAGGCATGGCTCCCTCAACACCCAGGGGTTTTTATGGCCCTGAGAATGCAAATGCACATGCCTTCCTGAGCTCAGCTCCTCCTGCTTCTATATTCCTGGCAACAGGTAAGATACCATCTAATCTATTGATGTCCAGGAGTAGGAGAAAGGGAAAGTAGTGAGAGAGGGAGGAGGAGGAGAAAATGAAGAAGATGCAGGAGCTGGCACGGTGGCACACACCTATCACCCCAGCAGCTCTGGAGGCTGAGGCAGGAGGATGGAAGAGTTCAAAGCCAGCCTCAGCAAAAGTGAGGCGCTAAGCAACTCAGTGAGACCCTGTCTCTAAATAAAATACAAAATAGGGCTGGGGATGGGGCTCAGTGGTTGAGTGCCCCTGAGTTCAATCCCTGGCACCCCCCCCCCCAAAAAAAAAAAAGATGCAGGAGAATAAGCAAGAAGGAGACAGGACAGCAGAGCTCAGGCGAGGGGCTGCCTGGGGAGCTGTCCCCTGCTGGTCGTGAGAACGGCCCAGGGACGCCTCAAGTCTTGGGTGAGGAAAGAGTACAAGTCCACCCACAGGCTGGGGCTGGGGCTGAGTGGCAGGACGCTTGCCCAGCCTGTGTGAGGCCCTGGGTTCTATTCTCAGCACCACATAGAAATAAAATAAAGGTTCGCTGACAACTGAAAAAAATATTAGGAAAAAAGTCTGCCCACAGTTCTTATGAAGAGCTTGCCCATCAAAACACAGGCATTTTGGCTGCTTGGTGTCTGCGTGAGAAAATCATGAAATTCAAAGCCAGGTCTGAGCACCCCCATCCCAGCCCTGTGCGGGCAGCCGCCCCCTGGGCTCTAAGCTGAAGGGTCTCTGCCAAGCAGAGGCCGGGAAGGAGGTCCCTGAGGAGGTGGCGAGGCAGGGTCATGGGCAGGTGAAGCTTTGCCTTGCCCTTCTTCCTGGGTTATGGGGTCTCCTCCTTCTGGATCATAAATCCTCTCTGCCCCAGAGACCTGCTGCAGGAGCCACAGCTGACGGCATCTTCTGACCAACCCTGCTCATCATGCGATCAGAGACAAATGGCCCTGCCTTGTTGGGAAGCCACACACAATACAAGGGGATGGTTGGCTCTGAATGGGTGGCACTCGGGCCTGGTGACGCTTGGGACAACCTTGACTTTCTAGGGATTGAGAACAACCTTAGCCTGTCGGTCCACCTGACTGTGTCCATACATGGATGGCCTAGATGATAGTCTCATCCAAAAGATGCTCTTTAGCCAGGCGCGGTGGCACACACCTATAATCCTAGTGACTTTGGAGGCCAAGGCAGGAGGATCACAAGTTCAAAGCCAGCCTCAGCAAAAGCAAGGTGCTAAGCAACTCAGTGAGACCCTGTCTCTAAATAAAATACAAAATAGGGCTGGGGATGTGGCTCAGTGGCCAAGTGTCCCAGTACCAAAAACAAAACAAAACAAAACAAATGCTCTTTGTCTGGGATCCTGTGATTAATTTCCTTTGCTACAAATTCTTAGAAATGAGCTCTTGTCTAGGATCAAATAAGTCTACCTTTTTCTCTGTCTCATGTGATGGGAGGTCTCTGCCCTCCCCCAATGAGGGTTTTTTCCTCCTCTTCCAGTTGAGGTATGGGATTGTCAGCAAAAAGGCACAGCCCTCTGTGAAGCAATCAAATATTGAACTAACCCATGCACATACATGAGTCCCCAGCTTTGCCCTCACTTTCCACACCAATGGCTGAGCACGTGGGAGGTTGCTTCTGCCCATGATCGCATTTGATTCCATTTAGGAATTGCCATATTCAACACCTTACTTGCTCGATTTTCTCTCCTTTACGTAGGTAAACTGAGGCTTGGAGAGCTTCTGCCTTGCTCACTGAGGGGCTGAGGGCTGATTCTTGGATGCACAGGCAAGTTGGAGGAGCTGTGTGGGATAGTGGGAAAGATGGCTGCCCGAGGCTGGGAGGGGATCTTTAGGGGCGATTTAAATCTCATGGAGACCACATCCTGATCACTGAGCATGCGGCTTTGCAGAAACAAGACAAGACGCTTTCCTGTGGGATCTCAAAGCATCAAGCGTCCCTCTCTTTCCATACTTTCCAAAAGGCTGGGGCTGGGACTGGGAAAATCACAAACTATTACCATCTGGCAAGACTGAGAAATCAGCAGAGGGTCAAGGTCAGAGCAGGAGCCTTGAGAAGGCTCCAGGTCCTGGGGGGGGGGTGGCCTCGTGATGCAGGGGTGTCTGAATGACACAGCATTTTTTTTGTTTTTTTTTTGGTGTGGACTTGATTTGCTGTGTCACCTCACAGATCACTCAGCCACTGTAGGACTCTGAGGCTGCTCTTATGTGACAGTAACCCAGGCTACTATCTTAGAGGGCACTCTGAGGCTTAGATGAAATCCGACTGAGCTTTCCATTTTAAACACCTGTCAGCAAAGCACTAACTAACAAGCCCAGCATCGCTACTTCTTACTCCACTTGCTCACTATCAACATCATTATTGATTTGCCCAAGATTCTGTCAATCTGGCTGCTTCTCTCCCTGTGGCCCATACCTCTCACACCTCCACCACTCCCAAGGGATCCTGTTCGTTTCCTGTCCTCTTTTATACCTTCTTTAGGACTCTGGAATCAAAAGGGTTTTGAGGATGGGCTCCAGTACTCGCCTGACTTGGTGGTGACTCATCCAGCCTCTAGCCCCTGATCTGTAAAATGGGCTGAATCTCCACCCCTCACAGAGTTCTGTGAGGCCCAAAGAATGAGGGTCAGCAAACTCTACAGGTGAGTGCTGCTCTGATGTTTTGGCTCTTCTGAAAGCTTCTGAGTTTACCCAGACCCTCTGACTTCATGAGAAGAAGAAAACATTTGCTCTCGGGATCTCTGGCACCTGTGGGTGACTGAGTCCCCATTGACACCCTTCCTCAGATCTAGTTAGAAAATCAAGGGTCATGCAGACATTTGTTTCCTAATGACCATCCTCTGGCTTGAATGTGTCTTCCACATTTCATGGTTGGAAATGGACACAAATTCCTATGTCACAAATGGAGGTGGGCCTTTGGGAGATAATTGGGACTAAACAAGGTCATAAGGCTGGGGCTTTATAAGAAGAGGGGGGACCTGAGCTGGCAACCAGGGTCTGTATCATATAACACCTTCTACCATGTCATGATTCAGAAGGCCCTCACCGGATTCTGAGCAGCTGTCAATGCTGGGCTTTGGGCTTCCCAGCCTCCAGAACGTCTATTCTTTGTAAATGATGTGTCTTGGGCATTTTGTTATAGCAACAGAAAATGCATCAAGACACACCGCACCCAGGGTCCTCTCTCCTCCTGAGTGGATTGCACGTGTGTGTGTTTAATTGCAATAATGGTTTCTGCTTTGCAGAAGGGTTTATACCCAAAGCTATGAAAGACATAATAAAAAGAAAAATCCATGCTTTCAAAGCACCTCAAGGGTTCCCTATTTTCTAATACATCCCTTCCACTTCCTCCATAGGTCTCTCTGCACACCCTCCACCTCCACATCCAGCTCCCATGCCCAAGGAAACAGTCCTGGCCAGAACTGGTCACCCCATTCCAGAAGCCTCTACTGGGCAGAGAACAAATGGACATCCAGCCAGCAGAGGCCAGCAGAGACCAGGCAGGAGAGATGTGACAGAAGCCTCACCCTCTCCAAGGCTTTAGAAGCTGCAGTGTGACGGTGGCAGGGAGCCCAGAGGCACCAGGAATCCCCCTCGTACACTCAAGGAAACAGGCCCCCAGAGGTGCTATGGACTCCGTGTGTCCTGTCCCCGACATTCCTAGGGTTGAGCCCCAGCCCCCCAGGCGATGGTATTAAGTAGGCCTGGGGAAAATCAGGTTGGGATGAGGTCCCGAGGGCAGGGCCCCACGAAGGCACTGGTCCCTAGTAAGGAGATCAAAGGACCAGAGGGAGGCACTCCTCTTGCACACTCTCTCCCCCCCTTGAGGACACAGCAGGAAGCCATGCGTCTGGGATCCAGCAGAAGAGCCCTCTCCAAGCGCCCACAGCCCTGGCTCCCTGATCTTAGACTTCCGGCCTCTTGAGCTATGAGCAAAAACCTGTGGTGGCCGAGGCCACCTGGTATCTGAGAGGGCAAGAGGAAGGGGGTTTTCCCAAGGCCAAAGATGGAGGTGGTGCCAGGCTGGGAGGAGGGGCTGCAGCCAGGGTGCCACCATGCCACCTCCAATCAGCTTGGCCTGGAGAATCCTCACGGTCTTTCCAACACCTCCAGGGCTGTCCAAAAAGGGGTACCAATGTCCACTGAGGCAGGGGGAGCAGAGTGACAGAGAGGAATGTGATCCTTCTAATGACTGGCCTGGCCTGTGCTGGAAAGAGGCCTCTTAGGAGGCAGGCAGCAGGCCGTGGGCGGAGGCGTAAGATGGGTCCCTGTCCCAACATCACTGTAGGGGGTTCCTAGGCTGGGCACGGAGGGCAGGAAGGTCTGTCCAGCTCCAGGGAGCCCCTGAGCTCTTGGTTATCAATGGAGAGAGGAACAGATAGGACGGGACTTAGTGGGCACAGCGGGCAGCAGACTCTCAGTTCCCTCCTCCCACCGGCCTTGCCCCCAGGAGGGGGTCTAGAGCTCCTACCAGGATGTCCAGGCAGGCAGCCTTCAGCAGGGTGATCTGGTCTGCGATGGTCAAGCCGGTGAAACCTGGCAGGCGTTTCGCAAACTCCACGATTTTAATAATGCACTTGGTGGCCAGTTCACTGAATTTGTCCCAGAGGCCCAGGTCCAGTCGAACTCGATGGTCAGCACTGGAATTCTGAGAGAGAGAGAGAGAGAGAGAGAGAGAGAGAGAGAGAGAGAGAAAATGCCATCAGGTGTGGTTTCTGGAAGCCCAACACAGGCAGAGAGCTCACCACATCTTCTACTGATGGGCTCATGTTTCAGCTCCACCTCAGAGCTCCTTGGTGGCAGGATACATTTTTAGCCTGGATTCATCCTTTTCAAATGCTCAGAATTGTCTACGTGAACCACCAGATAATCACGTTAACAGACGAGGGCAAGTGTCTGTGTATGCAGTTATCCAGCTAATAAATGAAGTTGAGATGACAGAATGAGGATTTACTACTTGTATATAACCCTGTGAAATGGGGACACTAGGCCCTGACCATCAGAGGTTAATAATGTCTTTAAAAATGGGTAACGGAAGGCTGGGTGTCCTGGCACAAGCCTATAATCATAGTGACTCAGGAGGCTGAGGCAGGAGGATCACAAGTTTGAGACAAGCCTCAGCAACTTAGTGAGGCCCTGTCTCAAAATAAAAACTTTTATAAAAATTAAAAGGGCTGGGGTGTGGCTCAGTGGTAAAGTGGCCCTGAGTTCAATCCCAGTATCAAAACAAAACACACACGCACGCGTGCACACACACACACACACACACACACGTAACTGGCCCATGAGGGTCCTGACGAAAATACACACCACACAGCACCACAGTCTGGCCCAAATCAAACTTGAATCAGATGGAGCCTCTTGATTTAACTGCAGGAAATCCAGGAATATTAATATAAATATGAATATAAACGACACCACAGGAATGCCACTGTCTACCTCCAGAGTTCTGGAAACTCTATAGAACCAGAGAATGGGTTTCTTCAAGAAATGCACTTGGAAAAATGAAATGGAGAGATATCTATGGATTAAAAACCCAAATGCTTCAATACTGATAGACAAGAAATGGGTTTGGGTCTGGAATGTTCCACAAAGGCTCACATGTTGAAGGCTTGATCCGCAATGCAGCAGTGTTTGGAGGTCGCCCTGGGGGGCATGATTGGATCATGAGGGCTCTGACCCCATGGGTGGATTGATCCATTGAGGGAGTCAGAGCTGAAGTGACTGTTGGGAAGTGGTGGAGGCTGCAGGAGGTGGGAGTGTGTCCTGGCCCCCCGGGGCAAGCCCTTGGGGACTCTATGTTGTTCTTCGCCCCTTCCTCTCTCGCTGTGCTTCCCAGATGCCACTAGGTGAGCCGCTCTATTCCACCATGTCCTATCTGCCATGATGTTCTGACTCACCACAGGCCCATTGCAATGGAACCAGCCAACGCTGGACTGACACCTCTGAAATCATGGAGCCAAAATAAACCTTTTCTCCTTCAAAATGCTTCTTCTCAAGTATTGTGTCACAGCAATGAAAAACTAACACAATAAATAAGCCTTGATAACAACTATGCAATGAAGGTTAGACAGCATTAATAGGAAGAAAACAGAGATGCATGCCATGATGTGAATAAAACTTAAAAGCATCATGCTAAGTGAAAGAAAACACACACACACACACACACACACACAACTACGTTTATATTGCATTCTGGAAAAAGCAAAACTACAGCAATAGAGCATGAATCAGTGATTTCTATGGGCTGGGACTGGATGGTGGTGAGGCTGCCCATGAACTTCAGGAGGGAACTTTCTGGAGGGAAAGAAATGTTCTGCACCTTGACTGCAGTCAGGCTTACATGACTGGACACTTCTGCCACGTTCATTGAACCATATCCTTAAAAAAAGATGAAAAAATCGCATCATGTAAAACATATTCCCCAAACTTGATTTCCAAAATATATATATATATATATATTTAGGAGATATTCCAGATGAGGTATGAACCTGATCAGAATCCTGACTCAAATACACTGTAAAGAGAGATTGGGACAAATATGAGAAAACTAGAAATCTGAGAGATTAAGGCATTGGAGATACCATTTTATTTTAGGACGGTAAAGTCAAATAATATTTTATCCGAAAATAAAAATGACACCGATGGTTTGTTTGCAGAAGTTCCTCTGGCTTAGAATAGATGTTGAAATGTTTACAGATAACATGATGAGAGGTTTATAATTTACTTCAAAATAATAGGTCGTGAGGAGTATGTGTGTGAGGGCTTTAGAGATAAGGTTGCCCATGGAGCAATAACAGGGCTTCATGATATACTATTCTTCTAACTTTCAGGTTATACTTGAAATTTTTCATAATAAAAATAAAAGACAAAAAAAAAACCTGATCATAATAATACTTCCACAACTAAAAGGCTGAGATTGTCTGAGGTTCTGGGTGCTACTGTGGCCTCATGCATAGTAGCAGATGAGCCAAGGCTCCCAAGGGACAGGAGCTGCCCCATGGTGTACACCTGGCCCAGGTCTCAGGGAGGCGACTCCGGCCCAGTACCCTTGCCTTCCAAACAGCGATTGAGCCTCAATTCTGAGACTTTGTGATTGGAAGAACTAAGAAAGAGAAGTTCTGCCGGAGAGAGCAAGGATTGTCAAAAGCTTTCACGCCGTCTACAAAGGAGAAAAGACAAGATGATAGATGGGAAGAGAGAGGAGGAGTGGCTCAGTCTTAAAAAAATGATGGGCTGATGGATACAGCCTCACCTGATCCATTTTTTAAAAAAATCTAAGTTGATTTGATTTCTGTCACCTGCAATAAGAATAATTCTGACCAATGCATAGTTCTGGCTTATAGGCATTTAGGTCTGAGAGCTTCACATCCCTCCCCGTCAACCCCAGGGACCATCAGGACTCAAGAGAAGACGTTCTACTCCTCTGCCACCCTCGCCTCCTGCGTGGATCACTGCAAAAGCCTCCCCACTGGTTTTCCTCTTCCCACTCTGGTCTCGTCAAAGCAGTAAGTCACTCGGATCAGAGCAAAAAGGGATCCTTTAAAAACACAAGCCTCTCCTAAAATAGCCTATGCTTTCCGCATTTCGCTCAGGCTAAAGCCAAAGTCCTCTCAAGAGCCTGTAGGGTCCTCCATCTGCCCCTCGGTCCCTTGCCCCAGCCACATAGGTCTTACAAGCCAAGTATGTGCTTTCCTAGGTCTTTGCTTTGGCTGTCTCGCTACCCTAGTTGCTCTTCCTCAGATTTCTGCTGGGTGCTCTCCCTGCTTCCTTCAAATATTTGGTCAAATGTCACCTATTCTTGAGCCTTCCCTTGGTCCCTCTAGGAGGACTGCAGCAGCCTTCCATCCCCAGCATGGCACACACACTCTATCCTGCTCACGTTCCCTGGACTTGTCTCCTGGCGCGCATGATCATTGGCTCATTCAATAATGCTTCTTGTCTGACTCTTACTGCTCAGGTTGCCGATGACACAGCGATCACACAGTGGAGGCTCAATAAAGACTGTTGAGTGACTCAATGAGTGAAGCCCCCGCAAGCCCCTGCTGCTTGTCTGAAATGCCCCAGGATGAGGCTCAGGGATGCTGGGTGCTAGCCTGGACCTCCTGGTGAAGCCTGAAAAATCGGTTGCCTCCCAAGGCAGGACTGAGCCACCCAAAGAGAGGTGGGTCCCCAGTGGCCCTCTGACAAATGCCTCTAGCTCTATAAAGGGAACTCTGTGTCTCAAACAGATATTTCTCCACCTGCGTTAAAGTCAGTTTGCAGGAGTCCATCAACTCAGTTGTCGCTTTTACCATCCATCCGCAAGGAGAACCAGAAGAGTTTGCATGCGAGTGGGCAGCCACAGAAGCTGTGACAACAGCGGGGGCCATGGCTGCCTTCCACAACGGTCCTCGCAGACAGTAGGCATGCATCCTCCAGATTTATTTGACTCCTTTCCTCAAGGACCTTGGTGGAATACAGTACACTTGGGAGAACATCAGATCAAGATGTGTGGCCATTCAGGCTGTAATTAAATTTAATAGGCAGTTTATCCGGTTCGTAGGAAGATGACACGGAAGAGAGGGACAGAGGCAAGCTGACGGCGGAAATCATTTCACCATAGAGTATCCATCTGGAAAGAAAGACATTGCCTGGCCCAGCAAGTGTGAACGAAATCTTCATCAGTGTGGATGGGGTCCCTCCATCATGGGCCAGGGCTGAGGCAGAGAAGCCTGTCGCACCTTCTATTAAAAATAATGCACAGCCGTCGTAACGGCATGTAAATCTAACTCACTATTATGCAAACTGAAGGGAAGAGGCAGTTAATAAAACACAAAATAACCCGGTGTTTTATTATACCGGTTGCTGGATTCATAGGCACGAGGCTTAAAATGGCTTATATATTATCTTACAGCCGCAGCACACAGAGCCCGGGCCTGTTGGGGCTGGTGATGGAGGCGGCTGCAGGGAGCATTGAGGATCAGATGGAGGGTCCTCAGGAGCATTTCTAAATGTGCAGGGGAAGGAGGAGTACTAGGAGAAGGAGGGGACAGGAGGTGATGGATGGTCACAGCAGAAGGGCAGGGCAGGCTGATGGGCATGCACTCTCCTGTCTCACTGCTGAGGGCACAGCCTGGGCTGGGTCTCCCCAGAAAGACCCCTCGGGCAGGAGCTCAGGCCCACCTTCCCAGAAGCTGCACAGCAGCAGCCCATATGGAGGAATGAGCTCTAAGGCCCCCCAGGGCCATCTTAAGCCCAACGCTACTAGGCAATCCAATTAAATGGTAATTTTTTGCCTTGCAAATGGGTCCCTTTCTTCTGTTGGTTTGGTTCTCTTGCTGATTTTCTGGCTGGCATTACTTTCAGAAAAAGACCCGTGAATAGTGGCTGAGTCGCCAGGGTCTTTAAAACCTCACCGATGGCAGCTTCTGGCTACTATGGCGGTTGATTCCAAGCTAAGAAGGAAATGCAAACTTTTTTTTTAAAGAAAAAAAAAAGAATTAAAGTTCTGTAGGGATGTTGGGAGCCTCCACGGAGGCAGGAAGCCCTGTTCTTTCTGAGGTCTCAGGTCTTTGGATCATCCTGAGAAATGGGAGTTCTTTCAAGTTCTAACTGTAGAATGTTCCTGCTTTTTCTTTAAACACACAAATACACATATGCACACAT